CTGCACCCAGGTATCACTGACATGTTCACTCCTAATAAATGATTTTTTTAAAACTCTGAAAGATGCGGCTAGAAACTCATGATTTGAATGGGGGTGAATTGTCGGAGCCCTGACACTCTGGTTACTAAGTGAGTCGTGCCTAATTTTATGACCTTTTTTGCCACAGTCGTCTAGCGAATCACAAGGGGGAACAAAAAAAAAAACCTAAATCAAAACTGAACTCCCTATCTAAAAAGCATCTGGAGAGTTGAAGGGAAAAAAAGGGATTTTTCTCGAATTCCTAGCCTGCCAAAAACGAATCTGATGTCACATTGTCTTCCCCCCCATAAAATCCATGTGCACGCACATTCTTCCAGAAGGCCAAATCCTCAGGGGGTTCAGCTGGCAAGACCAGTAAGATACAGTTCTGCCTACTCGTTTCTTAAATCTTTCCGCTGCCAAAATACACAAAGATCTGGATGATTTTTTTTAAAAAAAATAACAGTGTCACGGTTGACTTTTGCTACGCAGCCTGATTTGCAACCGGTTAACAGGGAGAGGGGAAAGAAAGCACTGGAATATAAGGGAATTTTGGGAAGGAAATTTGGAATGCAACTGGAAGCCTGAGACAGACCCAACCCCTCAAGGTCGCCCAGCTGGGGAAGTCCGAAGCAGACAGATCGTTCCCAAAACAAAGAGAGCGGAAGTGATTGGTGGACAATTCACAATGGGAAGTCCAAAGAAAAGGGAAAATTTTCCAACGTTGTTTTCACACGAAATCATCAGAATTGGCTTTTCTACTTCTGCAAGCACACGGAATCAGAAGGAAGGAAGGAAGGAAGGAAGGAAGGAAGGAAGGAAGGAAGGAAGGAAGGGAAGGAAAGAAAGAAAGAAAGAAAGAAAGAAAGAAAGAAAGAAAGAAAGAAAGAAAGAAAGAAATGTTGTAGTATGATCCCTATCTAGTTTACCCCAGGAGGCCAATAATGATCTGGCTAACTTTTTTAATTTCATGTCTCAAAACTCCAAAACACCGAGGCAGCTCCATGGGTTGCAAATAAATCTGAAGGCTTAAAAAGTATTTAAAAAAAAGATTAACCACCTGCTTGTCGTGAAAGGCAAATCCCGTGAAGATTGCAGACATCTTGGGCAGAGACAGAAGGTCTCAGCAGGTTCCAGACATTCGTATAATCAATCGAATGGAATAATAAATGATAACACCTCCTCGCACCCCACCCTACCCCCAAACCCCACTCCAGCCAATCATTCAAACCACATTAAAACTGATAGCTCTTTTCAAACAGGATTAAAAAACAAAACCCACAAACCCTGATCAATTATTCAGGCAGCGGCTGCTTGATCTCCTCCAAATGATCAGTTCTCAAGAATACGCAAGAATGAAATAAAACAAATCAAAATGGACCAGTTGAATATATAGAGCAATAAGTTAAGATTGTTTAAAAAATAATAATAGATGTATTAAATAATAGCTATAAGAAAATGTGATTGTTGTTATATTGGTAAGAAAAGTATTAATTATAATTGTAAGCACAAGATATATGTACCCTGTTGACACCTGGTTGAAATGAAATGGAATTATTGTAAAATATAAAATATTTTTTTTAAATAATAATAATAATAATAATTTAAAAAAAGAATATTCAAGAATGGTCAGCTCCCTTTATGTTATTCTGGCATCTAATTTATTTATTTTTTTAAAAATGTGATGTCCCTCACCAGGGATGTGAGAAAACAGCAACGCACACACAGCAAGATGAAAATAGGTGAAGAACAGCAATATAACCACTTGTGTTTGACTTTTGGGTTCAACTGGCCCCTCCATTAGTTAAATATCCAAGGAGAAAGAATATATTTGGAGGGTTGCTCCCATTTTCACTCTGTCCTCCTGGAAGTTACTGCAAGTCCTTGGAAGAATGGAATTTCTCATTTCCAAGCCCTTATTGATTGAAAACCACTTTTGGGGGAAAGCAAGCTTCTTGATGTAATTCAGTTCTATTCTTTTTTTCTTCCTACAGGTTTCATATCTGTCCTTTGTCCCCTACTTTTCAATAGTTTCCTGATTGTTTTGATGTAACTGTACACGCCTTTGCTAAAGACACGATCCTAGGCTTTTAGCATATTAAATCATGTAGATAGTGAAGTCTTTGAGTTGAACGCAACTCCTCTTGTTTTTGAGGACACGTTTGTATAGTTTCCTGGCAACAATACAAAATTGGGTTGCTGTTACTTTCTTACTTCTCTCCCTTAGTCATCTCCCATTCAAGAGCTATCCATGGCTACACCTGCTTAAAATTTTTGGAGACCACTCAAGCTCAGCATTGGAAAAGTTGCAAAATAAAACAAACACAGAGAACACAGAGTTGGAAGGCACCTTGTAGGTCATCTAGTCCAGTGGTCACCAACCGGTGGCCCGCGGCCCACTGGTGGTCTGTGCGAAAATTTTGGTGGTCCGCAGAGAAATGTCACCCCGCAGGGCACCCCCCCCCCCCAAAGCAATTAATCCAGGCTGTGTGGGAACACAAGTCTGCCTAACCATCAACTGTTCTGCTGTGCCGGGAGATTTAGATTAGCTAGAAAGCAGGAAATGGTTGGATTTCTGGCTTTCTAGCTAATCTTTAGATCTTTGGACCTCCCTTAGGACTGAAGGTTCTATTATTCAGTGCAGACTCAGATAGCCGATGGCAGAAACACAGATCTCTAAGTGAATCTGTGATTCTGTGAGCAACTCAATCTGCCTGCCTGCTTTGCCTGGTTTTGGGTAAAAGTTGCTATTTTTTTTTAATTTAAAAAATGAATATTTACATAAATATTTATAATATTTACATACAAGCCATGGCCAGGCAGCCACATGACCACCAAGCCACACCCACAAATTAGGCCATGCCCAAGAACCGGTTGTTAAGAAATGTGAATCCCATCCCTGCCTCTGTGTGTTTGTGTGTGTGTATGTATGAGAGAGAGAGAGAGGGAGGGAGGAAGGGAGGGAGAGAGAGAGAGGTTAGATCTTTCTCTCTACCACCAACGTCAGCAAGACACCATCGGTCAAAATTCATATTATGAGTTTGGTGGTCCCTGAGGTCCAAAAGGTTGGTGACCCCTGTTCTAGTCCAACTTCCTGCTTGAGCAAGAAACCTTATACCATTCCAGACAGATGGCTGTCCAATCTCTTCTTAAAAACCTCCGGTGATCCTTGATTAGTTCCCACCCATTGCTTCTTGTCCTAATTTCAGGTGCTTTGGAGAACAGCTTGACCCTTTCTTCTTTACGGCAGCCCCTCAAATATTGGAAGACTGTTATCATGCCATCCTCTAGTCCTTCTCTTCATTAAACTAAACATGTCTTACCTCTACAGAGGAAGGAATTGCATCTGCACTGCTTCCATCAAATCTATGCTACCCAAAACTTCGGTAGCCCAATTTTCCCCCCACAGCCCCAGCCCCAGCCCCAGCATTTTCCAACAGGCAAAACAACCGGCAGCTTTTTCAACTATAAAGATGGTGGAGAGATATGGCACGCCAACCTTCATTGTCCCAACGAAATGAACTTTTGACTCAAAGGTTTCTCAGATCCGTTCTTTTCCATTTTAGGGGTATGAAACATTCAAAGGGAGGAGGGGAAAGGATAACTTTTGGTATTCCCAGGTTCTTTGGATTCAGCATGTCTAGAAATTAGAAACAAAAACAATCCCATCCTCAAGGCAAGCTTGACTTCTGCTAACTGCAAGCATTGACTTTTCTTGGAACACTTTATGAAAATGATCTGCCCTAACCTTCTTCCCAGATGATTTTGGACTTACAAGTCCACCTATGTCCCTGGAATTCCCAAGCAATTCCCTCTATCAAAGTACAAACCAACACTAGCCCAGTTTAGCTTCTAAGATCAGCCAAGGATCCTGTAAAATATAGGGTTTTTGTTTTTTTTAACCCACTGTCATTCCAACCCCTTTCCTAATAAGGAAAAGCGCATTAGATCTTGTCTATGGAGATTCTCAATCATCCAGGTCATAGTTGTCCCAAATGAGCTTTTTCCAAAAGGCAAGTGGACTTTCTTGGGCTGTTGTTTCCACCACCCCCACCTGAAAATGTTTGGCTTTTCCTCCAAGAAGCTTCTTCAGTTCTTCTAAAGAACATGTCTTCCACTTTGCTTGTCACAAGATCACAGTAAGGGATCTTCCAAGTATAGAGAGCATAGGAAAACAAAGACCAAACCATGAAGGTTACCAACTGAATTGAAGAAGCTTCTTGGAGGAGCAGCGAATGGTTTTCGAGGGAGATGGGGGGAAACCAAGAAAGCCCACTTGCCTTTTGGGGGAATAAAAAGCACCTTTCGTACCTTAGAACTTGCTCCTCCACTACCTTCCACTTCTCCTGTGTCTCAAAACAAAACATGATGCTGCTATTCGTGTATCCCTTGCCTCTTCCAAGATGCTGGGATCACAGCATGACAAACGTTCTCCAGATTTCTTTCTGTTTGATTGTCACAAGACCACCATCAATAAGGGTCCTTCTAAGCATACAGGAGATGGGAAAACAAAGACCAAATCTTGAAGATGACCAACCACCCGAATCAACCTTCTCTGACTAAATCATCTCCTTAGGGACGCTGAGGTATATCTCCACTGCCCAACACAAATGGGTGAATTCAAGATTTCTGGGCCACCCAGGAAGGCAGAAACCTCTTCTCTCTCCTTTCCTTTTGTTCCTAGGAAGCCAATAGGACAAGACGGGAGGAAGAGTGATGTTGGATTGGGAATCTCACCATCTTTTTCCTTTCAAAGTGCTGATGCAAACAGCTGGCCAGTCTTCCTTCCTTCCTTCCTTCCTTCCTTCCTTCCTTCCTTCCTTCCTTCCTTCCTTCCTTCCTTCCTTCCTTCCTTTCCTTCCCTTCCCTTCCCTTCCCTTCCCTTCCCTTCCCTTCCCTCCCCCTGCATGCACAAACATCCCATTTGATATGGCTGGAGGGATGGGATGGAGGGGAAAAACCTGCCAGCCCTTTCCACTTACTTTTCCCGAGCCCATCGGTGGGTTTCCACTCCGTCTCTTTCACCGCCCCGTAGCTCCTCAGTGGTTTCTCGGCTCCTAAACTGCTGGAGATGGATTGCTTCAACTCCATGCTGCCAGGTGCCCCTCGGGCCCAAGCTTGTTCTTCAAGACTTCAAGGCTGGCCTGGGACCCACTTCCTTTTAGTCCATCCTAGCTGGAGGAGAAGAGAGAAAGAAGAGAAACGCAGGGTGGGGAAAGGAGGAGGAGGAAGGGTCGCTCGATCTGGTCTTCGGGGGGGGGGGGGGGTTGTTGTGGGTTGTTGTAGTGTGTGTGCGTGTGTGAGTGTGTTCTTCTCTTTAATTCCTGCTGCTAACGGATTGGCAAGAGCAGCTGAGCTCACTGCATCTTTCCCTTGTGTTGGTACCCTAGGAGAGGACAGAGAGAGAGAGATGACAGGAATGCCGTGCGCAGACTCAGAGGGGAGACGCTGGGTAAGCCCCCTCCCCCACGGCCCAAGGGAACACAGGGAAGGGAAGGGGAACCAGGCAAACAAAGGGACATGGGGAAGAAGGTCCAACAAACCCATCAGGCGGGTGTAAAACAAAGAACGCCAGCAAGAGAAAAACCGGCTCGGACCTGGACTGCATTTCAGCCGTTTGTCTGCTTGCGTTTGGGGTGGTGGTAGGGAAAGAAAGGATGAGCTCACCTCATGGATGTGAGGTTGTCCAACCCTTGGGGGGAGGGTCAGCAAGGTAGATTTCAGAGGAGCAGGGCTCTCCCCCACCGCCCCCGAGAAGGGTATGGGTTCAAGGCAGCCTGCTTTGGGCTAGCTTTTTCACTCCCAAGAGACCAGTTCTGATCAGGCTGGAGAATGGGCAGAGATTAATATTCAGACACTGTTATTAGAGAGGATGTTCGGTTGAGTTGTACAACACGTAGACCAGGTTTTTTAAAAAGGGGGGGGGTAGGGTGGAGTGTGATTTTTCCCAATTGAATTGGGCATGGTTTGGGCAGGTGGAGTGAACCAAGGGGTCCCATGAAAAGTACTGCATTCTATGAGAAGGAAATACCATGGTTTAGCTCAATAAACCTGGTTTGGAAAAGTGTTTGCAAATTTCTTTGAATGTATGCTTATTTCTCAAGGATTCAAGCTCCAGTTGGCTTCTCAGGGCTGCTTCAGACAATACCCAAAATCCTCAAGGAGGGTGGGGGTTGCTTGATTTATCACCCCAGGATATGAACAATACACTTTCCTTTGTCAACCAGTTTACGGCTTAAAAATTAGGTGTGAATGATCAATTTATTTTGCCTTATATATATATATATGGTATTCAGCTTTGTTCGGGTATTGAACAATCAACCCATCGAACAGAAGTTGCCCTCGGAAGTGGTGGGAGTGCCATCACTTGAGACTTTCAAGAAGAGATTGGACCGCCATCTGTCAGAAATTGTGTAGGATCTCCCACTTGAGCAGGGGGTCGGACTAGATGACCTAAAACGTGTCTTCCAACTCTGATTATCTGTTATCTGTTATATTGACTGTTTCCTTTTATCTTTTCTTTTATGTACCTTGAGAGCATTTGCACCAAGACAAATTCCTTGTGTGTCCAATCACACTTGGCCAATAAAGAATTCTATTCTATTCTATGCTATGCTATGCTATGCTATGCTATGCTATGCTATGCTATGCTATGCTATGCTATCCTATCCTATCCTATCCTATCCTATCTATCTATCTATCTATCTATCTATCTATCTATCTATCCGTCTATCCGTCTATCCGTCTATCCATCCTATTACTCTGTCTCTCAATCTAATCTAATCTATCTCCAGGAGAAGACAAAGCGGTCATCCGTTTATTTCCATCCAGGAATCCTGTTCCCTCGAAAGGACCCTTCCCCCCCTTTTAAACTACAACTCCCAGAATGCAAGAGTCGGGTTGCCTGGAGACGGCGCGGGAGGCTTGTAACGGCCGCCGCTTCGTTACGCCGGAAGGGGCGGGGCCGCGGCCGGCGTTGCCAGGCGCTGGGCAGGGCCTGCCCGGCCTCGGTGGGAAGGAGCGGCGAAGGCGCGCAGTTTGCGCTCGTTGCAAGCGGGGCGGACGAGGGGAAGCTCGGTGGGGCATCCGCGGGGGGCTTCGGCGGGCCTGTGTTGGGAGGCATTGTCGGTGGGGGTGGGTAGGTCAAGTCTGCAGAGAACAAGGGGGAGGGGGGTCATTTAAGCTGCTTATATATATAAAAGGTTAAGGTTGTCCTTAATATTGACATGTATATCGTTTTATGCTTGGGTTAATATCAATAATTTATTAAATTATTAAATTAATTCAGTAATTTAATCATTTGCTTCATGGGAAGCTGTCCTTAATATATTGAGCTGCCCACTTAAATGACATTAAGCAGCGTTGACTTTTTGCAGGCTTTGGTTCCTGTGAAGTCATCCTTAACTATGGAGCATCCTTAACTATTAATGTGAAGTTGTCTTTAATTTTTAAGCTTTGATTCGTGTGAAAAAAAAAATGTCCTTAATGTTCAGTTTGGGGTTCATGTGAAGCTGCCCCTTCGATCATCGTGAACATGTATTTTCAGCTTTGATTTAGGTCCTTCATTTTTATTTAATAAATAAAAATAAAAATAAAAATGAAGGTCTTAAATCAAAACTGAAAATACATTTTCATGCTTTGATTAACGAGAAGTGGTGCTTCAGTTAATTTGAACCTGTCATTTTAAAAGCTTTGATTGATATGCGAAGCTGTCCTTCGTTTTGAGCTGTCCTTAACGTTAAGCTAATCCTAAACGCTGTTTAAATTTTACCTTTTATTTTTTTTACTTAAGCTTCATTTGGCTTTCGTTGAAATGATCTTCCTCACCCCTCAAACAGATGCTTGAAACTGGGAGGGACCCTCTTTATTCAGCATCTGCCATCTTCATCCAAGCTATTCTGGAAAAAACAACAACCCAGCCCTGATTTAAAGATGTAGTAGATGTGGATGTGTGTGTGTGGATATGTCTGTTTGTGTTTATAAGGAAGGGTTTATGCTTGGGATAAATATCTGGCTTGTCAGCCTAGAGACCTTCATAACAACAAGAACCAAAACCTTTAATAAGAAGGATCACTGGGAAGCTTCTTGAGAGGAAGAGGTTGCACCCGATCATGGATCTTTAAAGATCGATGGGAAGAGACTAGATTCAAATTTAGGCATAAAACCAGTGGGTTTGGGACAACTGAGGATAAGACAGATGCTAGGGAATCTCCTAAATTTTGTACTTATTGTATATCAGGGAACGGTGCCATCAACTTGGATGACAGCACATTTATTTTTAAGTTGGCCTTTTTAGTAAGTAATCATATTAGAACCCATTTTAAAATCAGAAACATGTCCGGTCAGATCAGATTTTAATTCCATAGCTGCCTGGAAGAGTTGTGAGTTGTGTGGTTTTGCTTGGTACAAATATAATAATTGCTGTCCTTTGATTTCAGTTGCAGAGGTGTTGTTTTTCGTCTTGATTTCGATAACAATCTTTAGGTCCTGTTGCAGAGTCTCTTTAGTTGGCAGTGCAATTTTCCAGGCCATTAATAACAACAACAGAGAGAGATTAACCAGGGAATTGTAGGTAGAGTGACAGTTATTGTTGCATATATGCTGAGTTGTTATTTGCAAAAGAAGGGGTGGTTTTTTTTCCAACTCTTCTCTCCCTGTGTCATTCTGCAGCTCAACTGCATTAACGATGGAGGAATATGAGAAATTCTGCAAGAAGCACCTGGCTAGGATACAAGGAGAGTTTATGGAGAATGGAATGTCTCCCATTGTTCAGCCTAGATATGTATCCCTTATTCGATTTAATGGGGTCCCTGTGCTTTCTCCTCTGGTAAGTTGGCTGAATCATGTCCATGGTAAAAAGTTAATGACTGAACTTGAATTATGTTGGGCACTTTGCTGTGTGTACGTTGTGAATCTTCTGCTCTGCTTTTTCTTATTTTTAGAGCAAATACTTTTCCCCCTCTTCCATTAAAATGATAAAATAATCATTAAGGATGTCCACTGGAAAAATCTTTAATGATCCTTTTTATCAGAGCTCATATGCTCTCTTTTCTTGCTTTTTGTGAGGGCGGGGCCCAAACTGTTTACTTTTTACTTTGTGTCTTTTCATTCCGAATTTCTCAAAATCAGAATTGCATTGAGAAAATTTGCTTCAGTGCGTGGTGTCTTCACTTGTGCGTGTGGATCTTTTTGCTGAAGCTTTACAATCTTATTCGTTGTAACATTTCCTCCCAATGTACTAGTCCGAAGTTTCTGGGGGCACTGACTGGAAATCAGTAATTTAAAAAATGCCTCCTTTTTTGCGACTCTAAATCAATGAAGTTTAATAAAAGTGCAAGCTCACGACTGTCTCAAAGGTACTTTTCTTTTTTTCCCTTTCCAAAAGGCAACTGGACTTTTTTGATGTTTCTGAAAACATTTTGCTTCTCATCCAAGAAAGTTTCTTCAGTTACTTTGAGAATCTCCACCAATATGAGCCCAGGACTAATAATAGATGGCAATAATAATTTGTCTCCCTTGCTTTGACAGCTGACTCTGGAGAAGAAGAAAGAGCTTCAGCAGGACAGACAGAAGGCTCTGGACCTAGAATGCTGGAGACAGAATTCCAAGCAGAGGCTTTTGCTGACCCGGGTTGAGGAAATAATGGCCAATGTGCAGGTGAGTTTGAAAGACTTATTTTTATGACCGGGGAGCCATTTTATCTGCAACAGATTTGGAAGGGAATAGGTGTTCTTTTGCTCTCCAGGAGCAAAATCTCTGTTTTACATTAAATAGCATCATTAAATTGCATTAAATAATTCTGTTGAGATTGAAGTAAGATTTCAGGATGGCAATTGGGCAAGGCATCCTGACTAAGCTCAGTCCAAGGATAGGCTGATTATCCTGAATCCTGAGCATATCCTAGACTGGAACAAGGTACTTGATTTGGATACGCTGAAGTTCCCTCCTAGTACAGAGTCTACTTAGGTGTCTTTTCAACCCGGCCTACTTCCCAGGGTTGTTTTTGTAGGGATTTTGTTTTATAGTGACAATGTTGGGAGAAACTCCCAGATAAAAAGCGGAATATAAATGCGAGATGGACATTAAGAAGGAATGAATAAAATGACAGCTTCTGTTCAATGGATGTACCGCATCTAATGTTCCTAAGATGTAATTGAAGTTTGACATTTAAGATATATACATTGATATATATGAATATGTGTGTGTGTGTGTTTGTGTATTACACACACACACACATATGTATGTGTATATACATATGTGTGTGTTACTAATAAAGGAGAATATTTGTAGTTCAAGGTTGAAATAAGGGGTCATTGGTGGTCTCTGAGCTTGCAGATGTTTTGTTACCCAACTAGCTAGCATCATCAGTGCTAGTTTGTGTGTGTGTGTGTGTGTGTCTTTTCATGCGTGTATGTTTGGTCTGTGATTCATTCTTTCATATATCTGAATGTGATAAAGAATTTGGAAGCACTTAAACTTCTCTTATTGGAACACACCTTTAGGTAATCCCAATTAACTTCTGCTAAATGCGGAATTTGGGCACTTTTGATCTGGAAAAAAATCTGGTAGTCTTTTTTTTTTTTTAAGGGTTGACATTTCCTCTTTATTATATTTGCCGTAACGAACCAATGTAAATAGGCACAGGAGTCTGCCCTTCCCTTTCATAAATTTCTGTGTGTTTTTCTTTCTAGAGTTGGCCCATTAGAGTGTTGACACCGTTACTATTGAATTAAAGAGATCATGGTGGTAACTGGAAGTGGCGAATGAGATTGTCCTGGTGCTTGATGGGCACAGTGCAAGGGTATTTCAGCCAACAATGCAGCTTTGTTGCTTTAAAGTAGCTCATTTGTTAGCTCGGCTTGTTTAGCTGGAGTGATAACAGGAGCCCAAACACACACTATTCAATTTCTTACTCTGTTTACTAGTGTACGCTTGGCAACCATTACCCAGCCCGGGATTCAGAAGGTGTGGCCAGAGTGCACTGAGAATACAGTAATAACCACTTACATTTCTTCTACACAGTGTGTATTTTTAACCATGCCCATAGACTACAGAGCAGTTGGCTTATTAACTTGATGCTCTTCGTGCTTCAAAAAAAAAAAAAAATTAACAATTGTGACCGATCAAACTGAGAGCCAGTTCGGTGTAGTGGTTAAGGTAGTGGCCTAAAAACCAAGAGATTGCGAGTTCTAGTTCTGCCTTAGGCATGAAATCTCGCTTAGCAACCTTGGGGCAGTCATTCTCTCTCAGCCCAGCCCATCTCACAGGGGTTTGGTGAAGGAAATAGAACAAGGAAAGAGCATTAGGTATGTTCACTGCCTTCAGTTACTTATAAAGTAATAAAGATGGGATAAAAATCTGATGAATAAACATTAAAACTGTAGGGATCAGGGTTGGGTTGCTACATCTGCCAAATGATCAGTTGCTTTCTATTTCAGGAACAGTTAAAATCCTGTTTGTCATCCCTTTGATTTTTTCCCTCTTTGATCTCTCTATCAAAACAGGTTTTGATTTTTCTTTTAGTTCTAAAAGTTATTTGCTGTGCATTACATACATGTATTAGTCCGCCCAGCTCTGTAAAAATTCCGAGCGCTGTACAATAAAATCAATCTTAAAAAGCCATTAAAAACCCACCGGTTTGCTGGAATGGGATGGAACCAGTAAAGGCTTCAGTGGGTAAACCATTTGACCGTTTCAATTACTTGGATCCTATCCAGTGTGCCTTTTACGATTATTTTGGAACAACCTACTGATCTTTTTAACCCACTACTTTAAATATATATGTATTTTTTTTTAAACTGACAGATGAAAAAGATGTCCAGCCAAAGCGATTTAGACCAGTCTGAGAAAGAGAATATCCATTTGGATTTAGAATCAGAAGTGCTGAGCGGCTCTGCAACAGAACCCTGCAGCCTTTTGCTGAATTCTACTGCTTTGGGTGAACATCAAGAACCCCCAAAGGCCCCAGATGTTAAGCCAGTGGAGACCCAGGGTGCAGCAATCAGGAACGCTTTTGAAGGCACGGAACAATTTATCCCTCCTAATCCCACAGAAACTTCCAGTAGTCCTTTAGAAAAGAGAATTGGCTCAGGAGGTCCGTTTTCCAGGCCTCCAAGCCCACCTCCTACCAAAGAGATTGCCAAGAAAGATTCCACTGAGCCCGGCCTCGGTGCTGGGGAAGGTACCGACCCATACGTCATGAGCCTTCAGAACCTCTTAAAAAAATCCAGGGAGTACATTCAGAGAGAACAGACGCGACGGAGTCTGCGAAACAGTTCCAAGAGAAACAGCCCCGGAAGCCACCCGGATAAAGAAAACAGTGCAGTGAAAATGAACGAGCTGGGGAAAGAGAGAGGAAAATTGACAGGCAGGAATATTCCGGTTGCAACCCCGGAAAAAACCGGCCTTGTCAAGCCCGGTGCTCCTCAACCTTCCTTAACCTCTAAAAATCATTCCGGTGGAGTGACCTCACCCAGTTTTTCTAAAGTCGATATCCCAATGAGGTCCGGAACGCCTCCCATTTTGGACTCGGATTCGGATGAAGACTTCAAAAACCTCTCTCTCTTTGGGAAGGACAGCCTGCTCCGGACCTTCACGGGGTCTTACTCAAAACTTCCCAGTCCGGAGCCAAGCCTGAGCCCCAAGATGCACCGGAGACGGCCCAGGCCCTCTTCCGTAGGGCACATCGTCATCACCAACCCCGTGAACGCCTACGAGTTGAGTCCCAAAGCCAAGGGAAGAGCTGCGGACTTGATCGTTCAGGAGGCCTCCGCTCCTGTGCCAAACCTCTCTGCGGATCTCGTCCCTGCGTCTCCCCGCAAAGCTCAGGCGTTTGACAAGAGCTCTTCCAATACCTTCAATGAGCTTGTCGTGGGGAAACGCAACGAAGCATCTCCACTTCCGGCGCGTCAGCAAGAAGGCGGAAACTCCCTGGCCCATCCCACCGTAGGAGAGTTGACGTCAGAAAACGGAGCGGCATCGAGCAGTTGCCTTGCAAATCTCAGCCCCTGGCAGCTGCAGGATGGGAGCGGTGCCCGGTCGACCCAGAACCCAGCCAAGACCGATAGCCCATCGGACAAAGTCAAGGGCAGTGGGGCCACGGAACTCAACAAATCCTACGACGTTCAGCACCCGTCGCCCTTGCTGATGCAGATGCAGTGCAAGCCACCTCTGGATACCCTGGAAGTGACCCTCGGAAACGAGCAGGTATCAGAAAACAGGTTGGAAAAGGTGAAATGTAGACTTGAGCTGGAGGTGGACGCGGTGCAGAAGGAGAACACGCCGAGGGTTGCGCCCGCGGAAGAGAGACGATGGCCACACGACCAGAGGTATCCGGGTAGAGCTGGGCTCGAGGCCGAGAGCGAAACCCCACCACGATGCCTCAGAGGTAAGGAAATGGACCCTGTACAGGTAGTCCTTGACTTAACGAGTCGTTTAGCAACTGTGCAAAGTAACAGGGGCGCTGCAAAAAAAAGTGTCCCATGGTGCGTCCTTGCACCATCGCAAGTATTCCTGTGATCATTCACATGATCAAAATTAGGGCGCATGGCAGCCTTCATAGATAGGTAGACACCACCTGAGATTGTGAAAAATGAGATTAGAGAACCCGGCTGGCTTTCATGGATCAGGCAGGACTAGAATTCACCATCTCCTGGTGATTGGGCCAAAGTCACTCAACTGCCATTCATGACTAAGGCAGGACTAGAATTCACCATCTCCTGGTGATCGGCCCAAAGTCACCTAGCTGGCTTTCATGCCTAAGGTGGGACTAGAACTCACAGTCTCCTGTTTTCCAGTTGGGACCAAACCGGCTCTCTCTGTACGTGTGTAAGACTCCAGGATTTCGCAGAAACTGATTATATCTCATGTGGGTGGTTTTCAGAAGAGGAAGCATTAAGGCAGAAGATGTGGGCCCTTGCAGAGCTGAGGCAGAAGCTGGAAGAACAACATGCCCAGCAGTTGTCGTTGTTGATAGCAGGGCAAGAACAGGAACAAGAGAGGCTCCAGAAGGTGAGAAGACTCAAATTATCTATCTATCTATCTATCTATCTATCTATCTATCTATCTATCTAT